ACCACCTCAACTTAAACCTAACCCAACTTTAAACTAAATCTAACCTAAACCTAACCTATACCCGAGGATTCGTAAAAATGGCGATGCACTCGATATTCGGAGAATGGTAAATCAGTTTCGATCGATGGTTAACACCAGAACACATCAAAATGGTCAAAACGACTTGATTTGTAATTTTTGTATTTTTTTAGAGACTCGAATGATTTCTATCGTATATATAAAACGTACAATTGAAAGCTCGTGCTGTATTATAAAGTTCTTTATTTTCTGTTTATTTCGACATTTCGACTGGCGGGAAATTTTTTACATTTTTAATCTCATGAATTTCGAACTTTACGTTTTTCTAATTCGTCGTGTTAACGAGCTGAAAACCATTCGACCGCGAGTTTCACTTTCTACTTGTCCTTCTGCCTGAGAAGCAAACAAAAACATCGGCAAATGTCGATCGGTGGTTCTATAGTTGTAGGATTCGTATCTGTTGCTTCCATCGCATCGCGATTCGTCCGATCAACGACAGAAATTGCAGCGTGACGAGTATTTCCTCCGATTTTTCACGGCTTCCGGCGCCGTGACAAACGCGACGGTGAAATTGCGCCATTAATTTAACAAGCGACGCGGCACATATTTGCCCCGTAATTTAAACAGCAAGGGGAGGGAGTCATTAAGGTGGCGCTTGTGTTTCTTACATAACCGTATTATCGAGAAATCTACGGAAAAGGGGCCCGAGAGTGGAAAATTGCGAGACTGTAAGATCAAGCAGACACAGCGGGCCTGCAACGCTAACGCGAACACTGTTCGCAGGTCACTGGCGTTCTCTCGTTCTCCCTCGTGCAAGAGGAGATCCGACTGAAACCAACAAACTCTCTGAAATTATATCGCCCGAAAGTTTCGTGCGTGCGCCATCGAGTCCAACGCGCGTCCCCGCTCCCCCCCCCCCAACTTTCCCCTCCTCTTCCCGATTTTAATCGACCCCGCAGAAATTACGTAACTTTACAAAAGTAATTTCAATATTCGAGAAATTTCCGATACGATGCCAACGTGGCGATGATCGGTTTCTAAATCGTACACTCGCTACGCGAAGAACTAATGGTCGCGATCATCGAAACGAGACACCTCTTGTGGACTCGGAAGAATCGGCCGGCCAATAAGCCCCGGTGAATATATCCATAAAAATGTCGGGACATGGTCCCGAAACTTTAAATCGTTGGCTATTATTCCGACGAGGAGCAGACGAGCCGGCCGAAAGTTTCCCGATAAATCATCGGCGAAAAAAGCCGAACTGGCGGCGGTCGACGGGGAGGGGGAAGGGCAGGGGAGGGGAGAGCGAAAAGGGCGGAGTTGCGAAACTAATAAATATTAATACCGCGTGTATGGTTACTTCATAATCGATCGGCACCCTTTTCCACCGAATATGAAGAATTTTTTCCTTTTTCCGAAAATTACCACGTTCTTGCCAATTGCTCCGCTCTGCGATAACGTTTTTCCATCCCGGCAAATGGCGAAATGGTAAATTTTACCTTTTTCTCGTAAATGTCGTCGAATCGAAATTGTGCAGTGATATCTAGCACGCACGGGGCAGCGAGGAGAGTGAGAGGAATTAGTTTGCAATTGTATGGAATATCGCAAGGGGGAGGGGAACACTGCTTAAGAGTACGCGATTTAAATACAGAGAATGGATGGATCTCAGTCGTAATACAGGCCGAACACGCAACACCACGCGTGTATGTGGTTATTTTCGAAGACGTAATAGGAATAATTGTCCCGTTCCACGTCCCAGAGGCATTGAAACGCCCCGTGCACGCTCTGATCGGAACGTTGAACTATGGTCACCTGCACCACTAATTTATACCTTGAAGGACAAAAGAAACCAATATTACGAATATACAAATGCAAATGTATAACCCATAACGCAATAATACATTTTTTTCTTTTTTTTTTTTTTTGTTCGAAACTTTGCGCTATTGTTAACACTGTTAGAAATTTCATAAACACGGAATGCATTTTGAAAAATTTATATGACTTTTCGAAAAATGTTTCAAACGAAAGCTCGTGCAGTTTATTTGCATTGTAAAGCTTTTTCATTTTTTTTTTTTTTTTTTTTTTTTTTATTTCAACGTTTCCGGATGGAAATTTTACGCTTTCGTCGACGTGTTAATGATAAATTAAGGGATCAAAGATGACGAGCGGCAGAGTTAAATATTTCTTCGAAATACACAGGGTGGTTCTCAAGAAATGGTAAGAGACACGAAAAGATTGCAGATGCAATTCTTTTTTTCTTTTTTTTAATGGAACACTGTATCTTTTCACTTGACGTCGAGAAATTATCAGTTTCTGAGAAGATACTTGAACTTTGATTTTGTTAAATTAAAATTTTATAATTTCCTCGCGATATATATATACATATATATATATCTTTGTATGCTAATTATAATGTTTTATTTAACATCTTCATCCTATATAATATGTTATCTTAAATTAGTCACGATATCTTTCTGCAAAGAACTTCTCGTTTTTCAAAGGAAAGTTGCATCTCTCGTCAGCTTCTCTGAGAGAATCACCCTGTATATTTACGTAAATAATTACACTACGAAAACTGATGCCGAGTGAAAACTCGTTACTTTCCAACGCTCTCGTTTGCCTGGTCGTCGAACCTGGTCGAGGCACGAATTAAAAACAAGAGGGACGATTTCCAGCGACAACAGCTGTTACGGGGTGAATTTACGAGCGTGCCGCGAGCTAAACCCGCTTGAGAGTCGTTGGCATCGTTCCGCGTTTATTGCGTGGCAGGTGAAACGCGAACGTGTCGGCCATTACTACCTGTCGTAATCCTTCTTGCAAAGCGCGTTTTGCAAATCCGATCCAATCTTCAAGCACAATTTCCCCATGTGATTCGGATGGTACGACGTCACCGGCGACAGCTCGCTCACCATCGTCTCCATCACCATCTTGTCGACCGCCTCGACGTCGAACGGGTTGAACGACGCCAGTCGATAGGTGTTCTGATACCTCGGGATCTGCACTTTCGTCGAATTTGTTTGTTTCTTTTTCTTTCTTCTTTTAATATTTTTTTTTTCTCAATAGTAAATTAATATTAAAAATTAATATTAATAATAATTTAATATTAATTTAATATTTTTTTTTAATATTTTTTTTTCTTAATATTAATAATAATTTAATATTATTTTTTTAATATTAATTTAATAATTTATTAATTTTAATAATAATTTTATTTCAATATTTTCTTTTTAATATTTTTTTTCTTAATATTAAATTAATATTAAAAATTAATATTAATAATAATTTAACATTAATTTTTTTAATAATAATTTAATATTAATTTAATATTTTATTTTAATATTTTTTTTTCTTAATTTTAATATTTAATATTTAATATTCGCCATTACTTGTTGCACGCTACATTTGATTCACGATAACTTGTTTGATGCGTTTTGATGACTTCTGGCGGCACGCGGAGCAAGTTTTGATAAGAGATAAAGAGATATATAAGATATACGAAGCAAGAGAGTTTCAGAGAGTTTCAGAAGATCAATTTTCCTTTTTTTTAAGATGTTTAAATGCAAAATTTGAGTACCTTCCCTGCAGTTGAAAATTCATTTCACGTACCTTCAGCCGATCACCACGTCTGTGAAAGAACACGCGACTCGTCGAGTTCAGCATCGCTGACGGCCTGGCGGAGAGCCTCTTCCTGCTCTGAAGCAGGACACATCGATGTCTTTAATCGATCCGACGCACTCGTATTAACCTACTGGCTGTTAATTAATCAAACTGTTACGCTCACGTCGTTGAACTGCACTTGTCTCATACGCTCGGACTTCGACATGGTCGATGATTCCGGGCGAAATTTCGAATTTCGATGGACTTCGGCATTTTTGCCCTGCTGATGATTCATAATTACGCGGCAGGAGGGGCGGAGGGAGATGCACACAGTCGGAAATACACGGACACGAGCCTGGAAAATTGTCGCAAATCGGACAAAAGAGCGTCGATGAGAGTGAAGTGAACACCAAGACCTGCGCGTTTTGAAAAATATTCAAATAGCCAATTGCTTTTACAAATTAACTTTTCAACTTGTTCTAGAAATAATCCATTTCGCAAAATAACGAAATTGTATTACAGTATTTATATTAAGTGTATTATATTAGTATAGTATAATATATATTAATACATTAATATATTATATTATACTATATATTATAATATATTAATATATTATATTATATTATATTATAATATATTGTATTATAGTATATTGTATTATATTATATTATATTACATTATATTAGATTATATCATGTTATATTATATTATATCATGTTATATTAAATTATATCATGTTACATTAAATTATATCATATTATATTATATTATATTATATCATGTTATATTATACTATATCATGTTATATTATATTATATTTATTAATGTATTATAGTATTAATATAGTATATTAATATATATAATATACTATAATATATAATATATTATAATTTATTACTAATATATAATATATATGTATATATAATACTGTAATATATAATATATTATACTATTAATATAGTATTAATATATTAATAAATTATAGTATTAGTATATCATATTATATCATATTATAGTATATTAAAAATTTCATATAAAAATTAAATTAATTTACATCCAGTCCGTGAAATAAAGTTATTTACCATTTGCCAGGATCTTTATTTGTTACATATTTATTTTTAAAGACAGATTACCAAGCAAATATTACTTTCTCAAATCGATTTATTATTTTCCTAATTATTTGCTTGTAGCTTTAAGTTCCTTTTAATCGTCCAAACGTGCAATTATTTGCCATTAATGGCAAGGAACATTATCACAGAAATTTATTGAAATTGGAAAATCATTATTCGAAAGAAATTTTGCCCAGTGATTTTCTCGAGTGAAAGAGGTTTCAATGGCAGAGTCGTCACGACCTGTGTGGACATCAATCGGTGCTTTAATTTTCGCTCACTCGTCGCGGACACTCGTCTGTGTGAATGCAATCTCACCGCAGTTAAACTCCGAAACGTTAAAGTCTAAATTCAATTGCGACCTCGGCTGCAATTCACATTTCAACGTAGCTGGATCTCGACCTGTTCGCGGTCGAGAGGCTGAAACAATAAGACGAAGGACAGGAGGAGCACAGGTTCGTCTTGCGGGTGGAAGTTGCGGCCTCCGTTGCGTACAAAGCAATCAACACACTGTGCGACTCTTAATTTATCCTGAACGTAAGAAGCTTAGCAGCGTGGGAGAAGAATCTTGAAAGAAATGTTCGAGAGAAATCGCGTCTACTTATATTTTATTTCAATTTCTCTCGTCTCGCGCACTTCAGACGCGCGGGGATTAATCGCGAAGCGTAAAGAGGTGCCGTATCCGTTTCCTCTTTCGTCTTTTCGATCCGCTTCTTTGCTCGCGTAATACCTACACATTATCACGGTGGATAAACTTCCCTCTCCCCCCTTTTCCTCGAACATCAGCAGCTTACGTTACGAAATCGTATATCGACGATTTTTAACAACCGCTGAAAATCTCGGTTGACAGCAAGTTTCTTAATTCTCCTTGAATTCCAAGGTCACAAATTTTTTCTTTCGTTTCCCATTTGTATTCTACTTCATCGCGAAGGTAAAACTTTCCCAAGGAACCATATAGCTCTGTCAAAAAATAAGAAAAAAGTTTCTTAATCGTTCAACACTACGGACACGTGCGTGCTAACAGCGACTTTATTTATCTTACGTAATTAGGTTTCACTAAGATTTGATTTAGTAGCATCTAAATAAGTGTGAGTCTGAATAACCAAGCGATGAAACTAACTGTTAACATTATATTCGAAATACAAACATTACATCCACACCATAAAGTCGCTGTTAGAACGCACCTGTACAGCGCGGAGAGAAAAGTTTGTTCGTGGCTGTCATGGATGAATTTTCGATTCGATGGAAATACACGTGAAGAACCTGCCACAAAATGATCTTGAATTTCAAGGTCAAAAATTTGACTTTGAATTTCAAGGTCAAAGATTTTTTCTTTTTTCTCTTTTGCGTTGTGTTCTGTTCATCGCGAAGGTAAAACTTTTCCAAGGAACCATAGGTCATAGCCTAATAATTTTCTTGAAAAATGGCAAAAAAGTTGGCACTGCGGACGCGTGCGTTTTAACAGCGACTTCATGGTCTGCTGGATTAAGTTTCACTATCACTTGATTTATCATAGTTGTAGCATCAGTGCAGTCTAAATAATCAACTGGTGAAAACTAACTGTTTAAATTATTCAAAATATAAAAAAAAAATAAAGTTGCTGTTAGAACGCCTCCCTCGATTACGTGACACTCGCCAATCCGAATACCAATTCAAAATTATAGATTTCTCTATGAACTTCCAAATGAGAAAACCAATGAAAACCGAGTGTTACCGATTTTTCTAAGAGACCTGCTGTCTTCCTCGTTGGAACGTTGAGACATTGAAGTCAAAAGAAAAAACAGCGACTTTATGGTTTGCTGGATTAAGTTTCACTATCATTTGATTTATCACAGTTGTAGCATCCGTGTAATTCTAATCAAATGATAGAACTAACTATATCCACGCGTCCAGAATCATAAAGTCGCTGTTAGCACTCACGAAATTTTTTTGCCATTTTTTCAAAAGAACTATGGTTACGACCTTGGAAAAGTTTTACACTCGTGGTGAGTAGAATAATACAATGCAAAGAAAATATTGTTTTGACGTTGAAATTCAAGGCCAAGTTCGATCCAACAATACAAATAAAAGCTTGCATACTCCACTGTATTATAAAGTTTCTCTATTATTTTTCTTTTCCTTTTTTTCCTAACGTTCAAAATAATGTTAATAATGGAAATTTTATGGTTTAATTCGAGGGTAGTTCTAATGTTAACGTTCTCCAACGAATTGCGCGTCACCTTGCAGAGTTATCTATTTACGGCGGGGCATGTTTCTGCAAGCTACGCCGTTTTAAATCGTATCCAAGCGAAACATTCGCCGAGTGAGGTCGAAGTTCGGCTTTATTGGATATTGGAAAACGTCCCGGTCTCTCCCTGCCGCTTCAACCCACCGGTCATGCTGTAAAGGCCGGTCCTTGGAGATCAACGAGATCCTGCGGCCACCTACGATCATTGTTCAGACCTACGGCTATTCCAGGTCGATCCGCGGGACCCGTGGAAAGGCTGGCTTTGCGAGACCTCAGCCTCATCCTCCCCGATGACGGACGACACGCTGACTCCCGTAAATTTTCAAACTTCCTTCCTGCATTATGTATAGACGTCGGAGTAGCCGTTTTCCAGTCCGTGGGAGACGCCTTGGTCGTCGTCGCTCCGATCGCCACCGATCTGACGATCGAAGACTGACGTTTTTGCTGACAGAACGAATTCGAAACTTCTGTTCTCGAGCGATCGGGGACGATCATTTTGCTCGCTCGTTCGGAGGATATATTGTTTCGAATGTCCCTAGCGAAAATATCTTAATTTTTGCTCCGAAGCTTTTTTTCACTTTTCCTGAATAGTCCTCGTTTGGAAGAAGGTTTGCTTCAGAAACGATTTCCCACGGTTACATTAGAGACGGAATTTTATTTTATCTTTATCTATTTTCACTGTTGATTCTTCTGGTATTTTTTTTTTTCTTCTTCTTCTTGTTCTTTTTTAATCTTCGAGACAGACAAAACGAGAATTTCGGGAAATACGAATTATCGTCGCAAAGGACGATATCTCCCACGCCTCTCGAGAGAAGAGTTCCCGCCATTCCTTTCGGTTCATTTGTTCGATTAACGCAACGATGTTCGATTATCGATCGTTGCTCGTAGACCATCCATCCAGCCCGACAACACCGTCTCAACGAAATATCGTATTTTTTCAACCGTGACGCAATCTCACGAATTGTGTTTGCACTTCCGATGAAATCGTTAAGATCAAAAGAAGCAATTGCTATAATGGATGTTGACGTTGAAACAGGGGAATCGTCGCGGTATCCTTTGCCATCGTACTTTAGTTTAAACGCAACTTGCACTTACGAAATACCAATTTCGATTGCTTCTCTCGTCCGTTTCTAGCCACAGAAAGTCACAGCCCCACACATACACACACACACACACACACATACACACAATAAAGTGATCAGTACTGTACAGTACAAATTTAAATACGTGTGCATTCATTCATCTGTCCCATTTAAAATCAGAATACTTTAATACCATGCCATTATATCACATAAATATAGTTTAAATATAATTTAAACAAAAAAAAATATATATATATATATATATTACTTTAAATTCTAAAATGAATCTAATTGATATTAAAATATATAAACACAATACATAAATTTTATAACATATAAATTACATAAATAAAAATGTAAATATGTAAATTGATAAACTAATAAATTATAATAAAGTGTAATATAAATTAATAATAAATTAATATTATAATATAATAAATTGTGATATAAATATATAAATTAATATAAACGTATAAATTTATACAATACGTTCATAAGTTTAGATTTATATAATATAAATATAACACAATATAAATGCAAATATAATTATGAATATACACTAGTACCATGAATATTAAACATTCTATATTATATAGTACATATTAGTCTATATTATATAGTATATTAAATATTATAGTATATATCAGTATATTAAATATTATAGTATATTAGTATATTAGTATATTAGTATATTAAATATTATAGTATATATTAGTCTATATTGTACAGTATATTAAATGTAGTGTAATTTATAGTATATTAAATATAGTATATATTAGTCTATATTATAGAGTATATCAAATGTAGTGTATATTAGTCTATATTATATAGTATATTAAATGTAGTGTATATTAGTCTATATTATACAATATAT